TAAAATCATCAATGAATAATTTTCAACTATTCTCCTATCAACACTTAATATGCTACTTTAAAAAGAGGTGGGTTTTCAAGAAAATAATGGAAGAATAAATTCTTTTCAATTCACTCAAGAGTAGGAAGATAAAAATAAAAAATAAAAAAGGTTCAATTAGAATTGGACACCTTCAAATGAAAGAATTAGATGTGACACTTGAGAGAACTATTTAGGTTTCCAAGATAGTGTCAAATGACATTAGTACTCTTATGTCTATAAGAGAGTACAAAAAGAGGTTGTGTTTCAGCCAAAATCCCAACCCTAATAGCATACATCAAACAAAGACTTAAAAAACTATAAAAACCTATCTCAATTTCCTGGAACATATAGATTAGATACACCAAATTTGAAATATATAAATTGAATCATAGGTTCTCTACAAATTTAGTTAAAATATCTGCAAGTTGTCCATTAGAGCTCACAAATTCAGTAATAAGTTCTTCGGACAAGAACTTCTCTCCAACAAAATGATAGTCGATCTCAATATGTTTTATCCTCTTATGGAAAACTGAATTTGAGGTAATATGAAGAGCATCTTGATTATCACAGGATAACTTCATCATTATCACAAAATTTCAATTCTTGAAGGAGTTGTTTAATCCACACAAGCTCACATGTAGCAAGAGCAATAGATCTATATTCAGTTTCTCCACTAGATTGAGCAACGACACTTTATTTTTTACTCTTTCAAGAAATCATATTCCCTCCAATAAATACACAATATCCAATAGTAGATCTTCTATCAATGGGACAGTCAACCTAATTTGCATCACAATGGTATTGTTGAAAGGAAAGATAGACACTTGCTTAAGATTGCTCGTACCTTATTGCTTGGTGTCAATCTACTGGTCCATCATTGGGGTGATGCTATCCTAATTACTTGCTTTCTTATTAATAACATATCATCTTCTCTCAATAATATAGTTTCCTATTCCATTCTTTTTTCCAAAGATCCTCTCTTTCATATTTCTTTTCGTGTATTTGACTGTGTATGTTCTGTTCATGATTTATCCCGAAGAATAAATAAACTTTTTACTCGAGCTATCAAATGTGTCCTTTTAGGCTAACTTGGCTTCAAAAAGGATATTGGTGTTACATTCCTAAAACAAAGAAATTTTTCATATTTGCCAGTGTCAAATTTTTTGAATATAGTCTTTTCTTCTCTTCATCTATTCAAGATATTTATTCCATCCAGAAGGTACTACTTATCCCATTAGTTAAGTTAATTATTCCTTGTGCCTCGAACGATCCTGGTCCTATCACACATCCTCCTAAACCATCATGGCCTCCTTACCTACCAATATCGAAACTGAATGACTTGTTCAACGCACTAAGGTGTGACCTCTTCTTCTAGTTCTGCTCTATCATTTCCTCTTATTAAGGGTCCTCATCTTGGTGATTCAGCTTGACTCATTGCCCTCATGAAAGGTACTCGTTCTACTTGTAATCCACATCTTATTTATAATTTTCTTAGTTATCATAGGTTGTCTACTTATTATTCTTTTCTATCATAGATTTCTTTCATTACTGTTCCTAAAAATGTGAATGAAGCACTTGATTACCCTTATGATTGTCAAAATCCAAGCTCTTGACCCTTCCACTTGGGAAGAAAACAATGGAATGTCGATGGATTGATGCCATTAAAGTTTGCTCAAATGGTGAAGTCGATCGTCTCAAGACACGCTTAGTTGTTAAAGGATACACTCAAATTTATGGCCTTGACTATAGTAATATTTTTTCCCAGTGGCCAAAGTGACTACTGTTTGTTTATTCTGTCATGGCGACTATTCGTCATTGGTTACTTTATCAATAGGATATAAAATATGCATTTCTTCATAGCTATCTTGAAGAGGAGATTTATATGAAGCAACATCTCGGATTTATTACTCAAGGAGAGTCAGACTTGGTTTGTAAGTTATGTCGATCTCTCTATGGTCTTAACCAATCTCCACAAGCTTGATTTGGGAAATTTAGTCACATTGTGCAAAATTTGGGGTTGAAACGAAGTGAAATAGATTATTTAGTTTTTCACTGTCATACTACTCTTGATAAATGTGTTTACATAATAGTATATATTGATGATATAGTTATTAGAGAGAGTGATGTTGTTAGAATATCTCAACTAAAGAAACACTTGTACCAATATTTTTAAATCAAAGATCTGCGGAGTCTCAAATACTTCTTGGTATTGAAATAGATTAGTTAAGAGAAGGTTTGTTAATATCTCAAAGAAGTATGCACTAGATATTCTACGAGAGGCAGGAATGATTAATTATAGATTAATAGACAATCATATGGATCCAAATAAAAAACTAATGACGGAACAAGGTGAATTATTCTCCAATTCAGAAAGATATAGAAGACTAGTTGGAAAACTTATTTATCTGACCATTTTTAGACTTGATTGGTCTTTCGCAACTGGTGTTATTAGCTAGTTCATGCATATTCCTTGCATTGACCATTGGAATTCCATCATTCGTATCTTGAGGTATCTCATAAAGGCTCCAAGATAAGGTTTGTTTTATGAAGATAGAGGCAACACTCAAATATATAGGTATTGCGATGCTAATTGGGTTGAATCCTTTTCTGACAGATGCTCTACTATAGGATATTATGTTTTCTGTGGAGGAAATATTATTTCTTGGAAAAGGAAGAAACAACATGTAGTGGCCTAATTAGATATCAAAGTTGAAAATAGGGCAATGACGTCTCTTACTTGCGAATTTGTATGGGTGAAACAATTTCTTGTGAGATCTAGACCAGGAAAATGTCCTGTGATAATCAAGTTGTGCTTCACATTGCCTTTGATCCAACATTCCATGTGAGAACGAAACACATTGGGATTGACTATCATTTCATTGAAGAAAAGTTGATGGTTAAGGAAATTTGTATTGAGTTTGTTGGATCTAATGATAAACTTGGATGTAGTGATAAACTTGTAAATGTGTTAAAAAAATCACTAGGAGGTCCTTAGATTGAATTAATTTGTTTCAAGCTTGGTATATACAATTTGTATACTCCAACATGAGGAAGAGTGTTGGAATTATTAGGCTAAGTATAGTTGTATCTTAAAGTTGTTTTGTATTTCACCTAAGAGTTGTACCTCTTTGTGTACCTAGGTTTCTAGCTCAAACTTTTGTCCCTTGACTTTCCATCTACTCATTGTATTTGTACTTTATCATTATAAGAGATTGTATTAGAGGTTAGAGGTGTGGTTTAGTCCTCTAAAACATATATTTTCTCCTTTATTTACTTTTAAGTTGAACAAAACAGATATATCCAAATACATATGGGGACACATGATAAAGGAGATAATCTGGAAAAATAAGAGAGTGAGGAATTTGTTTTTTAAGGAAACAAGAGGGCATTCTTTTAATTAGAAAGCATGCAGTGAGAACTACATCTCCCTAATGATGATCAGGAACATTATCATTCAATATTAAAGAGCTTTTTTAGTCTCAATAAGGTGCTTATTCTTTCTTTCTATTATACCATTTTGTTGTTGGGAAGTATGAGGACATGTAGATTGACATAAAACCTCTTGGGAAGATAAAAATGAGGAAAATGTTGTAGAGAAATATTTTTTTAGCATTCTCACTTCTATGGATTTTAATGATCTTCCCAAATTGGTTCTTGATTCAATTAAAAAAAGACATAAATAAGGATAAAAGTTTAAATTTATCTTTCATTAAATAAATTCAAGTCCATTTGAAAAATTCATCAATAAAGGTGAAAGCTAAAAGAGGAGACATGACTTAGTCCATAAATATCAAAATAAACGTAGAAAAAAGGAAAATTACATCAAGTTTCAAACAGTTTAGCAACTATAGACCTAACATGTTTAGGAACTATGACTAGTGTTGGCCAAATTTTTCAATGACAAAGGGTTCAAGTCCCACCTTCCTTTCATCTAGAAAATTTTAAGAGTTTATATATGTTCATGGTCTCAATAGTTGTAACCAAGAATTGAAGCTTGGACTTTCTAACTTGAGTGCGGCTCCCTTGGCCGAGAATTTGAATAAAGAAGATGCAGCCCTTTTTTTGTCTTAGCCAAGTATTGATATTTACTCCTTTTCTTCAATGTTCCGCTCCTTCCAAAGAGTCATTGAAAATTTTAAAACTCCCAAGTTCTTAAAGAACTCAATGTAGTTCCTCTCCAGGAAATGATCCTTCATGAAAACTAGGAGAAGATTACTCCCATTTAAACTTTAAAAGAACAAGAAGACAAGTAAAAAAAGTAAGCTCTATTCTCATTCTCATTTCAAAGGACCAAGAACAAAGTGCAATGGGCTTTATTTATAGTTGAGCTTCCCCTTTGCACTTCTTGAACCAAGCAAAGTGGGACTTGGAAATAAACATGGCCAAACTTCTCATTGCATGCAAAGCACAATTTAGGCTAAAATTGGCCAATTCTATCAAGTGTTGGACTTGGTTGTTCTAATTCCATATTCTGATTTGACTTTTATCCACTCCTTTAGTCATAACTTTCTCTATTGATATCCTTTTTGGTTGATTCTTGTTTTATTGGACTCCTTATTTCGAAGGCTTCAATTTGCTTATATGCAACGTGGAATTCAGAGTTCGGAACTATTTTTAATAAATTTTAGATGTTATGTTTTCATTCTCTCTTCTCCCCTGGCTTAGTCGCATTTGTAACTTGGTTCTCCATAGCTTGTAATAAGCCAGGCCAAGATGTAATAAACCCATTGCAAAACATCCATTGGTACTAGCTAGCGGTTGCACCATCCATATAGAATGATGCAACTGTAATCCATTCATCTTCAGAGGTGCCTTGGTAGTCAAAAAATTTATTCTTAAAGATCCAGTGGGTCATGATGGTCAAACCTAGGATCCTCTAGCTTAAAGTGCGGATGGTGGGAAAAAGGAAGAAAGGGGTAGGGTGGGGTTGTGGTAGTTAGGGTAGCAAGAGGCTCAAGGATGGTATCGAGAAAGAGGTCATGTTGGTTGGTCGTGAAGTGAAGGGTAGCGACCTCAAGGGTCAAGGGCAGATTTTCTGGTATTATGGTCAGCCATGTCAGACCAATTGATAGAACAGAGAATGCTACAATTATAATATAATAACTAATTTGTGTAAAATGATTCTCTCTGCCTTTTCATTCCCACAACATAGTGTAATAAATCCTAAGAGACTCATAATATCAGAAAATTCCTATAATACATAGTCTTTGAGGTGGGTTAGCCTTCTTGTAATTCTGATGGGTCTAGATGTTTGGGCTGGTGACTCATTGCTACCCATGACACCATTTCTTCTTTGCCATCTCTTGTGGAAATTCTTTCTTACACTTTTCAGCCACAGTATAGGGGCAGAATTTCATTTCAACCCCCTCCCCCTGGTGAGGAGTTGGCAGTAATTATGTTCAAGAATAAATCATACTTCTTTCTTATGCTCAAGATAAATTTATGGTGCATGCAGCATTTAAGAAGTGAGAAAGAAGATTTTTGAATGCTTATACATCAAAGTTTGGCTTCCTTGAACCCAAAAGATAAATCAAAACAAAACAGTTATTTGATAGTATTGACATTGTATTACTTTAAAAAAAAAAAAAAAAAAAAATGAAGATATTGTATACTAAATTTTTGCTTGTTGATGTTTAATGCTTACTTGTGTTCTTCAAATGCATTTATTTTTGACATTTCTATCATCAGATGTTTTGGTGTGTGTAAACAGTTGCTACAGAAACTCCTCTGCATTCTAAAGCTGCAAAGGATAATTCAGTTGTCGCTAAAGACGCGCGAACTAAACCTGCAGTAATTGAGGAGTTATATATACCTGGGACTGTTTACTATATTAAAAGGAACCTGGGATCCAAAACTGACGGTGAAAAGGATTTTTTCACCCTTTACCAGAGGGATCCTGGTGAGCATTTCCAGAAGATATTTTTTTCGGGCAATTTTATCACAGACCACAGATGTGATAGCCATTATTATGCTTTGAGAGATGTTCTTAAAGGTTTGCCATGGTCTGGAGAGGAAGGTATATTTAAATATTAAGTATTATTTTTATTTCTCATGATCTCATTTGTAATGAAACTGTACGTTGTTTAGCCAATTTTCTATGCTTAAGGGAAGCCTTACAGTTAGTTTGAGCAGGTGCTAGCAATAGCACATTAGATTAGAAGTTTGGATTTTAGGTTAAATGTAATAACAATTGTGGATAGTTGGTTCTATCTTTAAAGGTAATGCTGAATTAGTCCTGTAACAAATAATATTCAATATTTTTTGCGCAGCAGAACAGAGATAATAAAAGAAGGAAATGATTGAAAATGATCTGTATGTATTGTATTAATGCAGGAAAAAAGTACATTATTTATAGTCATTTTGATCACTAGCTCATAGGATAAAATAAAAGTAGTACAAGACAGAAAATACCTAACTACACACTTAAACATGCATGTTTCTAGAACTTGACAGCTGTTTATTCCAGAATATGTAGCTATAGCATAGTTTAATGACTGGGCCGAATTGGGCATACCATGCAACAGCCACATGAAAGTAGGAGAATGTCTACTAACTCCAGCTTGGAAAGATTTGCAAAGAATAATCAAGGAGGAAGATCCTTTGTAAAGATGTCACCTAGATGATTGGTAGAAGAAATAAGGATTAATTCATCAAACCAGCTTGAGATCTTTATCTATCAAGGTGTATTTCAAGATGTTTTGTTTCTTCATGATCTTTATTTCATGAAAGATCACTTTGATTATCATAACATAAAACTAATTGCATAGAATAAGAGATCTTAAGGATGGTAAAGATATTGCTCCTTGCTCCTTGGTATTTCAATAAAGAAACAAGCATCGGCAAAACCAAAAGGTTGACTATTAGAATTTTTTTGAAAACTATTGACGTATCCAAAAACTTTTAATGTTGCCAGAAAATGAATCTGAGTGGGATTGGACATAAATGGTCTCAATTGTGTGGAATCTAAGATGTCAAAACGAATCCGTCCCAATTTATATATTAAAAGAAAGGATGGAATGGGTAGATATATTATAATCATGAGGGATGGTAGATTTTAGTCCAACATAATTAAAAAATAATAATTTTTTTTAAAATTAAATTTTTTAATAAATTTAATAATAAAATTATTATTTGTTTGTCAATAATTTAACATATATATTTCAAATTAATAATATAAATTAATATATTATTTTAAGAAATTATAATTTAAAATAATAATAAAATTTATATAATAATAAATAATAACAAATATACATAAATAACGTTAAAACTTGTAAAATTTATATTTTTTATAATAAAAAATTTAAATATTTCTCTTTTTTATTTGATACAATTTTATATTATTCTCTCCTTAAGTAATTTTTATACATTTAATTCAAGTCATAAAGATTAGAATAATCAATGTTTATCATGAAAAAATGAGATGATGAACAAGAAGAAGAGGAGGAGAGAAAAGTTTGTGAGTAAAGAGAATATTTCCTATAATGAATGAGAGTGAGATTTTTTTATTTTTATTTTTACAAATTTTCATTATGATTAATTGTATTACAATAAAAATAAATTTTTATTAATTAGACGGGTTTTGGGTTGACCTAGTGAGTTGGCGGGTTTGGCCGGACAGGACGTGAACTAGTTGATGGGCTGAAAATACCAACCCGTCCTGTCATATTTATAACGGGCTGGCGGATTGACTCGTCGGATCTATTTGTTTTGTCATCCCTAGTTATGTTGAGTGTTTATAAGATATAATAATCAAACAACCTCCAATTTAACAAAATTTTAGTATCAAGAGAACTGTCCACATGTGATGAGGATGACATGGACCCACCATCCCATACTCCTTAAGGAGACAAAGACAATATCTTCATTTGCATAAAAAGATTCCTCCGTTTGAATAAGGAAACCTTGAATCCTAAAATATACTAAAAAATCATAGGTCTTAATTCAAAAATTGGAATGAAGAATCCTTTTAAATTTGAGATTTCATGAATAGAATAGTAAAGAAAATACCATTAACGTATATAATTAATACAGTGAAGTCAGATGTTCAAATTTCATAAACCAGCTATGATCAAGTTTAGGTTACAATTATCCATAAGACAAACAAACAGATAATTTTTAATACCAAACCATAAAGAGAGTTTTGAAATTTGAAACATTAAGAGAGAAAAGGATAAGCTTTGGCATGTAGTGTTATGATCATGTAGACATTAGGTCTCCAATTTGAAAAATGATGTTCACATCAATTTTGTTGAAGGTGTCAATAATTAATAGAAATTAATACAACATGAATTCTAGCCATCATCATAACTAGAGAGAAAGTTTCAAAGTATCCTATATCTTTACTCAAAGAAAAACCCTTGGCGACAAGATGTTCTTTATACCATTCCACTTGACCATATGGTAATATTTTGATTTTGTATGCTCATTTGTAATCAGTGGGCATGACATTGGAGTAATATCCATAAATTTTTAGGTATTTTTTTAACATTGGCGCCTTTATCTCAATGACCTTGGCTTCACACTTATAATGATGTTGGGTAGCTTCTTGACAACTAATTAAAAGTAAGGTTATCAAATCTTGAGAGTTTACATAAACTCGTGAAAGATCTGTTGACTTAACTCATGATCTCGACTTCTAGACTCATTAGAGTCTATTTCATATGAAAAATAATATATCAATTTAAGTAGTTTACATCACGGGGAGAAAGGAATGGTTTAGAGGATGAGTTTAAAGATAATTTTGATGACTATGTGTGTGATAAGATGTGTTCAAATCGTAGCTGGAAGGAATGGTATAGGGAGAAATGAAATATGGAAGAACAATTCGCATTCATAGTCAAAACATAATAGAATGATGCATTTCAAGGCAAGGTATATCTCTTTGTCAAACTTGTAAGTCGATGTTAAACTCGCGAGTTAACTCAAGTTTGATTGAGTCTTCTTCGAATACACACAAATTTATTAAGAAATGAGTTTATTTATGAGTGAACTTGTCACCACTCACTAGAGTTGCAAACTCATGAGTTAGTGATTTAATTGTGAGTTTGATAAGCATGGATTCAAGCTTTGAAGAAACAACTTGAGCTAGCGAAAGGGAGAGACATAAGAATAGGTTAAGAGATATGTGGATGGTGCAAACCTTTTGAAGATGGTTAAGTTGAAAAAAAAAATATTGTGAACATAATTACCTAAGGTAGTGTGGACACACAAATTTATTAAGAAATGAGTTTACTTATGAGTGAACTTGTCACCAGTCACTAGAGTTGCAAACTCATATGAGTTAGTGAGTTAATTGTGAGTTTGATAAGCATGAATTCAAGCTTTGAAGAAAACAACTTGAGGTAGGGATTGCAAGGGAGAGACATAAGAATAGGTTAAGAGATATGTGGATGGTGCAGACCTTTTGAAGATGATTAAGTTGAAAAAAAAAAAAATATTGTGAACATAATTATCTAAGGTAGTGTGGACACACAAATTTATTAAGAAATGAGTTTACTTATGAGTGAACTTCACTACAAGAAAAATTGTGATTACCTACAGCACAAATCCATATGTAAGCAAGAAAATCCGTAGATAAATTTAGATTACCTACGGACAAAAATCCGTAGGTAAATCCCTCGTAGGTAATAATTACCTACAAATTTTCAATATCCGTAGGTAATTACCTACGGATATATCCGTAGGTAATATTCGCAGGTAATTACCTACGGATGTATTTGTATGTAATATTCGCAGGTAATTAATTACTGTCGCCGCCGTAAAAAAGATGGCGGTCGGAGCGACGCGATGGTTTCGACCCTTTTTGATTTTCACGTTTTTTATGGGTGGTTACAACGCCTTTAGGTTGTCCGATAACCCGGCTAACCTAGGGGCGAGGTTTTCGAAAAGTCGTCCTTGGGTTGTCCGATAACCGGGCTAACCCAAGGACTAATTTTGAGGGGTTCTGTGGAGTCGTCACCGATGTTTTTACCGGAAACATCGGAAAAGAGGTTTTAAAAGGCGTTGGTTTTCGAAAACCAACTTTGGTCATTAGAACCAGAGTTGGGTAAGGGAGTTAGTTACGTGTAAAGGGAGTATTAGTCCCTTTACGACGCCCCTTTCGGGTTCCCAATGACAGGCCAGCTATTTAAAAATATTTAAACCGGTGAAAATTACGCTTTTGCCCTTTTATTTTGCGGAATTTAAAGTTATGACTACATGGCCCTAATCTATTGCATAATTTAAAATTAAAGCAGTAAAAGTAGAGAGGGAGAATTTAAACCTCCGAAGCAAGCTTTTTATTTTATTTCTTTAAAAGAAACGGGTGCTTTTTGGCAGCCCTTCACTCTACACGACGCTGGAAACTCTTCTAGACGCCGAAAAACGCTCACAAAAGCACTCGGAAGCTCCAGAAATGCGTCGGAGGGATTCTAGAGAGAAGTTTTAGAGAGAAGGGAGAGCTAAAGCTTGTGGTGTGTGGAAATGAGGGGGGGAGAGCCCTTATTTATAGGTTTTCGCGCCTGGCAGTGGCGAGACCGCCGTTCTCGTCTGACAGGGTCGAGACCGCCGTCTCGTCATTCGCAGGTGGCGAGATCGCCGTCTCGTTTGGTGAGACGGCGGTCTCGCCATTTGCGTGACGTAGCCGATCCCTTTGGTTAACACATGGTAAAACCTCAGGATACTCCTTCTGACGGTAGCCGATCCCTTAGTTGATGGGTATAAACCCCCCATCAGGCTGGTAGTTGCAGTCCGTTGTGTGGGACTGGATGGGTATGAACCCTCCATCAGGTTGGTATAGTCTGTTGTGTGGGACTGGATGAGTATGAACCCCCCATCAGGGTGGTAGTGCGACTTACTGATCTGGCTCGAGCGCAGATCAGGCGCAACGCGTGCGCAGGTTGATAGGTATAAACCCCCTATCAGGCTGGTACAGTCCGCTGCGTAGGACTGGTGGTAGTGGCGGCTTACTCTTCAGGTGGCCCATGCGCCGGTCAAACACTCCTTGTGTGCTGGTTGATAGGTATAAACCCCCTATCAGGCTAGTACAGTCCACTACGTAGGACTGGTGGTAGTGGCGGCTTACTGCTCGGGTAGCTCATGCGCTGGTCAGGCACTCCTTGTGTGCTGGTTGATAGGTATAA